GCTGTGCCCGTGTCATGTTCCAGCCATGGGGTATGGCATTGTGGCCCTGGATAGCTCCACTGCCACCCACCGCTGCCCGTGTGACCACAGTCACCTTTCTGACCTCGGAGGCCCAGTTCCCTCATCTGTAAGGTGGAGGCTGCAGTGTGTGTCTGTTCCCGTGACCTTGGCTTTGTGGTCCCCTCAGGAGGTGACAGCACCCCGGGGCCACCTGGGCACTGCTCTCCGGAGGTCCCCAGGCGTCTGGGGAGCTTTGTCACAGGCGATTTCTGGGTGCCACCTCCGTGTAGGTGAAGGGGTGGGGACAGAGCCCGGGCTTTCCTTACAGACACTGGAATGACAGTCCCACCGTGGTGCAGTCTCTGCCTACGACGTTGTCATTAGGAGCCCTGGTGGGCAGTGCCTGAGGGCCCTGGGCACCTCTGACCCCTTCCCGGGCCAGCCCTGCCCCCGCCCTGCCTGGGAGCCTCAGGGGTCTGCACTGGGGGGGGGGCAGCTGCCCGGGAAGTCGGTGGGTGGCCTTTGTCAGTGATTTTCCGCCCTCGGCCCGAGGTAGCATTTTATTGGGATAAAACAGGCGTCATCTCTACTGTCCAGGACTCCTGGCTGGGTGGCTGGGTGTGGGGTAGCTGCACACTAAAAGACAGGGTCCCATCCCATGTCACAGCCCCTCGTCCCCATTGCTGATGTGATTTCTCCCTCCTCTGAACTTGGGTGACACTTAATGCACTCCCTGCTTTGGGGGGTCTTAACTTATGATTGACACTTGCCAGGAAAATGTCTGAGAAGACATAGGGTCGTCCCTGGGTCCTGCCTGATGGCATTGGCCTCTCCTGGGCCCATGCGTCACCCTCCCCAGAGCCCTTTGGAGACGGGGTGACATTAACCGTCCTTGGAATCACCCTTGCTTCCCCTCATTGGCCCAGGACAGGGCTTGCTCAGGGACGGGGGACCACTGATACAGCCGCCGCCGCCCTGCTCTGCTTTGGGGGGTCTGAGCTGGGGGCCTCAGAAGCAGAACAGGCCCTTAAAAGCCTGAAGTCTCCTGCAGATCTTTGGCTTATTAAGGCCTCTGTGACCACGAGTGGTTTGCCAGTGATTTGAAGAGCTCTGGGGACACGTGCGGTGTCACATGCCGCACCGTGGTGAAGGAGGACGCCCCGCAAGCCGTTCTGGCGTTTTGTGTTTTATTTTGTTTTTAAACCAAGCTCCGGAATCCAACTGCTTGGCAAGTCCTCTGAGGAGTTAAGTTCCAGGTGGTGGAAAATCTTCCCCCAAAAATACCGTAAATAATCCCTCGGGCCATCTGGCTGGCTGTCTTCCCTCCCATTCATTAGAAACAGGGAAGAATTCCGCAGTTGGAGGTTCTGCTTCTCCGCTGGATCAGTGGTGGGGCCACACGACAGGAAGCCCAGACCCTCGGGTTCTAAATCAGGGGCCATTGATTGAAATCAGCGTTGCCCGCTAGGAAGGGAGTGGCCAGCCAGAGACACCCGGCCCGCGGAGTCTGAGCCCGATGGTTCCACCAGTCAGTCCTCATTGAGGCCCCACTGTGCGCCCAGGGCCCTGCTGAAGGCCGGGGACACCCCCTGCCCGCGTCATAACGCGGGTGAAATGCCAGCGTCTCCCTCCCGCCCTGCCCCCTGTCCCCACCACCTAGAGCAGGCAGAGACCAGGACAGAGGTGAATTGTTTGGTTTCCCGCTAATTAAAGCCCAGAAAACACAATGACATAGGATAAGCGATTTCTGACTCCTTGGGAAGAATTGTCCCCGTTGGAAGACATAAAGGAAATAGACTCAGAAGAACCTAAGGAAATGGGCAGTGGGGACCCAGGGGACAGAGTGAAGTCATGGACGCTGTGTTTGTGCCCACCTGACAACATGCAGTGGGTTCCCAGGTGGCGGGGCAGGTTCCTCGGTGGGAGAGTCACCTTTGTAGCCAGAGGCCGAGTGTCAGCTGTGGCCTCAGCCCGTCGTGTGCCCGTGTTGAGAAGCGTGTTCTCGGTGGTGGCTGAGCCCGCATCCCTTCCTGTCCGGCTCCGTGTCCCTGACCTGGGGACGGGGTGCCACGCCTTCTCACGCCTTGTCACTGATTGCAGGGTGGATTACGTGGACTCTCTGGGGCGCTCCCGGCGCTGCATGAGGAAGGACCTGCCGGCTCTGCTGGAGATGGACAAGGACCTGCAGGGCAGACTGTGAGTTCCTCTGCACGGCCACGTCCCTGCGTTAGGTGCCACAGTCGTAGAGGCTCTGTGTGGTCGTCTCTGTCCCCTTCACTTAGGGAAGCTCTCCAGGAGGTGGCCTGCCCGTACGAACGTGGCCCACACTCAGGGACAGTCTTTCTCCTTGTGTCCTGAGTCCTGGTCCCCAGCCGTCCTCCTGCCTCAGCCTCCCAGGTGGCGAAGGCCGCTGTGGGCACCTGCTCCCATCCTCTGTGTATCGCAGCTCCTGAAAGGAACTGATGGAGCTTGGGGCCTGATGGCAGTGACCAGTGCAGAGGGAGACCAGGGCAGGCCCACAGCGAGGCTTGGTGGGCATGGGGCCTGAGAACCAACACCTTTCACTCACCCACAGGCAGGTGGGTGGGCAGCCTTGGCTGAGTTGCTTTCCGTTTGATCGTCTGTGGGTTTTAAACTAAAGGCCTCATTCTCCCTTCCCCTCGTGGAATCAAACTTGCTAAAATATCCGGGAACAGAATCCCTCTTCCCCGAGCCACTTCTGTATAAAAAGGGTTGGCAAAAACGCCACCTCGTCCCACCCCCAGGTTCGGGCATCCTGTGGACAGGCCTGGGCCCTGCACAGGAAAGGACAGCGGCCACCTCGGCCACCTCGGGCCAGGAGGCCCCCTGGGTGCAGTGTTGGGCAGCTGTGTCCCTGGTGGCCATGCACACAGGCCCCGGTTCCTCCCGCTGCCCAGGTCACCTCCCGTCTTGCCAGGACCTTGGTCATAGAGCAAGAGCCCCTTGTGCTCAGCGGCCAGCCTGGCGCTTGGTTTAAAAGATGAAACTCCCGCGCTGACCACCAGTGGTGTTGCAGACCAGAAGCCCCCGTGCGGAGCTGCTGTCCCTACCAAACAGGGTTGCTTTCCCTGGTCCCCGCCGCTGAGCACCAGCAGGGCCACCCCAGGGTGACCTGCAGCGAGCCTTACTGTGCCGTGTCCCCTCCCAGCTTCGTCAGTCCTGCCAACGAGAAGACCCTGCTGTCGGAGGACATGAGGAAGGAGCTGCAGCGCCAGCAGTGGGAGGAGGAGGAGCGGGAGGCCCTGCAGCGGCCCGTGGGTCCCCTGCACTACGAGGACATCCGGGAGAACGGTATTGCTGGTCCCTTGCAGCTTCTCAAGCCACTTTCTAAGATGGTGGCCTGGCGACAGGTGTAACGGGGAACACGCACAGGTGGTCACTGTGGCAGAGGAGACCCTGCCCTGGCATGATGCCCCTGGCCCACTCCAGAGCCCAGGGGATGCTCACATGGACGCCTCCCTCCCGCAGCGCCTGTGGAGCCAGCTGTTAGGGACAGCTGTGGCTGGAGGTGGACGCATCTTTGCAAACAAGATGAAAACTAGTTCCAACTTTGTTTCTGTTCTTTGGCTTCATTGTGCATTTAGAAAATGGGACATTTTTAAAAACCTGTGCAGAGAGCAGTGGTTCCTTTTTGGTGTGGGTGGGAAATCTGCCCGAGCATCGCCTGGTGCTCAGGGAAGTCTGACCTCTGCATCTCGCCGACTCCTTCCAGAGGCCCGGCAGCTGGGCGTTGGGTATTTTGCCTTTGCCCGAGACCAGGAGCTGAGGAGCAAGCAGATGAAGACTTTGGAGACGCTGCGCGAGCAGGTACGGGGCCAGCGTCCACCTGTCAGGGACAGCATCCGGCCTTTGGTTTCAACGTGTTCTTCTTCAACTTCCTAAGACATTAAGAGTTATTCTCTTTGCCTGTTTTTGGTGGTCGTGTGGGGACAGAGGCCTTTGTTTTATTTTATTTATTTTCCTGTGGTGCTGGGGATGGGACCCAGGGCCTCCCACGTGCCAGGCCAGCCCCGTGCCTGTGACCCCGGCCCCCAGGGTTCTCACAAGAGCACCTCCTAGTCTTCATTCAGCGTCTCCACGGTAGCTTCTCGGATGTGCTGGGAGAACCAATGAGTCTGTCTGTTCTTAGAAGAAAACTATATCATCCTTTTGGAAATATTGTGAATCTGAATCCAAAAAAATCATTTTCTGGCTTTTTCTCTAGACCACAGATCAGAGAATCAAACGGGAAAACATAAAGGAAAAGCGGAAGGCCCTGTTGGAAGCCAGGCTAGCCAAGCTACGCCAAAAGAAGATGAAGAAATCCAAAGAGGACGGGACGGAAGAGGGCGACCCAGGTAGCGCACGGCTCAGGGCTCTGGCCCTCAGGAGGGGGAGCTGGTTCCGGCTGCGTCCCCCCGCAGGGCTGCCTCAGTTTACCTAAGCCTTTAACAGCAGGCCTGGGGTCCTGCACGAGCAGTGTGTGTGACCAGAGTGATGCAGAGTGACACTGAAATACTTCTGCACGACAGACAGATAATTCACTGGGCGCCTCCTAACGCGGTGGGTTAGTCACCAAGACCCACAGAAAAGCACCTTAGGAAAGTGTACGCATGCGCATGTGTATCACGGAGTTAACATTTTTATTTTTATTTTTTAAATACACAAAACCATTGTGCGTATTTACGGGGTCCACGTGACGTGTGGGTACGTGCATGCCTTGTGTAGCCCTTTCTTGGGCCAACGCCCAGCACACCTGACTGTGTGGGCGGGGGAATTGGCTGTTACATATCCGTGCAAGTGCACTGCGTGTGTCATTCCTAAACCAGAGCAAGTGTGTTCGTCAGGTCTCTATGGGGGGAACGTTCACACTTCCTCCTTGCCTTTTGGACATCTTTTTTTTTTTAAACTAATGGCTGTAGTACTTTTTAAAATTCATTCTAATTATGCGCATATGACAGCAGAATGCATTTTGAGTCATTGTGCACAGCTGCAGCACAACTTTTCACTTCTCTGCTTGTACACTGTGGAGCGTCATATCATAGGGGCAGTCATACGTGTACCTGGGTAACGACGTCCATCTCATTCCACCATCTTTCCTGCCCTCGTACCCCCTCCCCACCCCGCCCTCCCCTTTGTCCCTGTCCCCTCCATTCCTCCCATGCTCCCTCCCCCTTTATGGGTCAGCCTCTGGTTTTGTGGGATTGGCTTACTTAGCATGATATTCTCTAACTCCATCCATCTACCTGCCAATGCCATCATTTTATTCTCTTTTATTGCTGAGTAATATTCCACTGTGTATATACCACATTTTCTTTATCCATTCATCTACTGAAGGGCATCTAGGTTGGCTCCACAGTTTAGCTGTTGTGAATTGTGCTGCTATAAGCATCGATGTGGCTGTGTCCCTGTAGTATGGTCATTTTTAGTCCTTTGGCTATAGACCGAGGAGACAGACAGCTGGGTCACATGGTGGTTCCATTCCCAGTTTCTTGAGCAGTCTCCATGCTGCTCTCCATGTTGGCTGCCCGTTTGCAGGCCCACCAGCAGTGTGTGAGTGGGCCTTTCCCAAATCCTCTTGCTTTCAAATTCATTCATAAACTTGGTAATAAGATAAAACTTCAGAGACATGAATGCAGACAGCTTACCGAAAAACCCATGCTGCAGCTGCTTCTCCATCCCGCACACTAGCTTCCTGGGTGCGGGATGGAGAAGCAGCTGAGCTGCTGCAGTGGGTCCCTCGTGGGGCAGAGAAGACAGAAGTCTGTTTGTCCCTTTAGTACTTCAGAGGTGGCCGGGTGGGGGGCTCCTCCGCATCCTGCTGACCTGGAGGCCAGAGCTCTCCCCAGGTCCACTCCCCATCAGCCCAGGAAGGGGCCAGGAGGAGAGGGGAGCCGCTTCCTCTTGAGAAGTCATGAACAATCTGTGCTTTGACAGCCCCCAGCAGGGCCCAGGCCCAGGGCAGACAGGCTGCAGGGTGGGGGGGCTGGGAAAGGCTCCTGGGAGGGGCCTGGGGCTGCAGGGAGCTGTTCTCTAACATCTGAGCAAAACCTAGTTAGCCCTGAAAGGAGCCCAGAAAGATCTAGAAATCTGAAAGCTTGCATTTAGGTGTCGTAGTTTCCTGCCACGTGAGCTCTTCGTGTTGCCTGCTCTTTTGCTGTGTGTCCTGAACGTCCGTCATTCCCAGCTGTGAAGGGTCACTGCCGTGTTTTTGAGAAATCGTCTCATTTAGAAATTTAAAATCTGGCCCGAGTGGCGCAGCCTGGAGCAGGTCCCGCTCTGCACCCCCAGCCTCTGCTGCTGTGCTGGGAGTGTGACTCGGGCTGTGGACTTGGGGCGCTTCTGGTCCTGAGATCCCCAGTTGTGCAGTAGAGACGTGGTGGGGACAGAGACTCGTGTCACCCTGCCTGGGGTCTGACCCCTGTGGGACATTGCTGAGCTGACGCTTGTAAGCCCTGAGCGCCACCTGTCTCTCAGGAGTGGCACGTCTGCTTCTTCCGTTGTCATAATGAGGACTTTGTTTCCTTACAAAACACAGACGCAGCTGTTATTGGGCCTCCGGCTCCAGAACCAGAAGCTGGGCCAGCTCCGCCTCCTGCTGCCCAGAGCAGCAAAGTGGAAGTCATCATCCAGGAGAGGAGGGACACCAAGCCCGGAGTGCCACACGTCCGCGAGTGGGACAGGGGCAAGGGTAAGCGAGGCCCGGCAGGCGGCAGGGGGCTGTGCTGGTTTTGCTTTTAAGTCAAAGTGGGTTCTCTGTTTCTCATTCTTCTGTGCAGGGCACATGCCCCTCTGCTGAGCCACACGCCCAGCTCCGCGGTGGGTCTTAGGGTCCCTTGGGAGTTAGGAACCCAGATCCTCACACGGATCTTGGCATGCTCGTCACCAGCTGTTTGTGAACACAGCTAGAAAATATCCTGGGAAAAGACCAGGATCTACCCACAAAGCCCTCATGGAGAGAGGGAGAGAGAGTGCGCATGTGTGTGTGTGTGTGTGTGCGTGAGAGAAGCACTTGGGGAGCAGGATCCGTGCCCCTCCTTGGTTTCACAGTTCTGGAACCACTTTACGATGCAGGGATGCAGGTCTGGGGTTGGGAAGCCCCTGTCCAGCAGTCTCCCGTGTGCACAGTGGAAGTGACTTGCATGCCCCCCTTCAAACACTCAGTAAGGGCAAGATTTGTGTTTGGGTGCCAAGTGCCTCCCGTGTCTGACAGTCCTGCTGTTCTCTGTTTCACTCTCAGATGTAGTGGACTCGTTTCTCCCCTCTCTTAGCCTGACTTCTTGCAACTATTTATTGCATATATTATATAATACAGTCTTGTTGTTGCTATCCTTGTTCTTCAGAGAATTTGTGATTTTTAAAAATACAGATATAATAACTGAGCAGGGCAGGGTGGGGCATGTCTGTGATTCCAGCAGCTCAGGAGGCTGAGACAGGAGGATCACAAGTTGGAGGCCAGCCTCAGCGACTTAATAAGACCCTGTCTCAAAATAAACAATAAAAAGGGCTGGGGATGTGGCTCAGTGGTGAAGCACCTCAGGGTTCCATCCCTGGTACCAAAGAAAGATGCACAACGATTGCAGAACAATGACTCTACGTTTAACGGATTCGTAGTCAGTTCTAACAGTGCTCTTTCTTATTGTCACCAGAATTTTCCTTTGGATACTGGTCGAAGAGGCAGTCAGACCTGCGGGCCGAGCGAGACCCCGAGTTTGCCCCGCCATCCGATTACTTTGTGGGTCAAAAGAGAACTGGTGCTTGCAGTGGCCAGACGTGGAACAGACCTGGACCAGCACTGGGTGACCCAGGGCAGCGGCCTGGCCAGAGCCAGGAGCCCAGCTCCGCACAGTCACCGTCCTCCTCTGCCCCTGCAGGCCCACCCCAACCCCCCAGGGTCACCTTTGAAACTCTGGATGAGATGATCTCCTATTACAAGCAAGTGACATGACCCGGGAAGCATTCTGCCTTGGTGTGTGCTGTGGACGGCGTCTTCCTCTCAGAGAGGGGACACAGCTTTAGGGACAGGGCTTCCTGTCCTCCTGTGCTGTCCCTGGAAGGCCTGGGCTCCAGGCTGGATTTCCCAGTGAGGGACAGAAGGGACGAGAACCGCTGGCAGTGGGTGGTTCCTTCCTCTGTGATGATGTGGAGGCTCCCTGTGTCCCTTCACGCAGCCCTGATCCAGTTAGGGTCCCCTTGGAGTGCAGCTGTGCGGCTGTGGAGGAGGAGAAGCGTGGGTCCCCTGAAGGCGAGGACTGGGACTGGTCCATGCCCACCCACGACCTAGATCCAAGGTCCCGTTCCCAGACCCTGCGAATCCCTGCGCCTTCATGCCAGGGATCCGGCTTCCAGGTCCCTTGACCCAGCACAGGTGGGGGACGGTGAGTGGGGGGCAGGATGATCCAGCATCCACGAGGACCCTGGAGCTGGTGGCATAGAGTCACACTGCCGTGGTGAGACCAGGGAAGGGCACTTCATGAGAGGCCGATGTGCTTCTGCCGTCACACTGTCCCTTACGCACACCTGTGTGCACAGTGGCCAACTGACAAGTGTGTTCAGGACCTGGGCGTCTCGGAGGCTGCTGGGCCCAAAGCCCGCTGCTCCTTAGTTGTGACAAGTAAAGCCGTTCGGCTCGCCGGCCCTCCTGCCCCTCGGTCCCCCGTCCCCCAAGCCTCCCGCAGCCCCTGGAGCCTGCTTGGGGCAGACTCAGGGCTGTGTGGAGTGAGCAGAGGTCCCTGGGGCCTTACTAACAAGGTGAACAGTGTCTGAGCCACCCAGGCCCTGAGAAAGCCACCTCTGAGCTCTAGAAAGACAGGCGAAGCCATCAGACCTGTGTCATGGTGTCCCCAGTTGGTCTCGTCATCAAACCCTCTTCCCACACCTACTCGTTGGGCCCCACTAGACCAGCTGCCTTTTCTGCAGAAAGCGACACGTGGCCCCAAAATCCACCAGGAGATGCAGGGGACCCAGAGCAGCCACCACAGTCTTGTCAGAGAACAGAGCCTGCGGACTGTCACAGCCCGAGTCGCACACTCACTGCGCAGCCCCAGTCCGTGATCCCGAGGGCCTGGTGTTGGCCCGGCACAGGCCGCAGGTCACGGGGGACAAGCCTGGCTTCAGGGTCTCTTGGCTTTTGAGAAGGACAAGGCCAAGACCGTCCAGGGGGAGAGAGGAGCCTCCCAGCAGGGGGCTGGGACCCCCAACGTCCCAGGCTCAATAATGACCTTGGGCTTTTATCTCGTCCCATAGACAAAAGTCAAGCAAAAACTTAAATCTATCAGGAGTAGAAGAACCAACAGCTGAAGCGGTCTGTAGGACAGAGGAAGAGGCCAAAAATATTGAAATAGTAAAAGGAATTAGAGCCGCTGGACACGCTGGACAGCAAGAGACAAGAAGGAAAGGGGAGACCCAGTAGATGACAGGAGGAAGGGGGGAAGAGGGGCATCTGTCACGCTGTCACCAGGAGGACGAGGGGTGGACGCAGCCAGGGGGCAGAAGGGGCCAGACAAGTGCCACAGACCATCCTGGACAGCAGCAGTGGGCACCTCACCTCGTGGCCGCTGTGGGGCACACTGCCTCCGGGTCACAGAGACTAGGTGACCCTCTCTCCAGGCCCTTGTGACAGCATAAGCCCAGTTCAGCGTGTCCTCAGCCCAGTGCAGTGCGTCTGTCCTCTTGGGATCCGGAGCCTGGTTCCCAGGCCTCCCTGTTCCCCCAGGTCCTGTGGGTAGTAGCCTGTCCAGCAGGTGGCGGTACAGACCCTCAGGTCCAGGTCCAGGTGCAAGGGCAGCGCTGCCCTGCAGGGACCCCCAGGCCACCAGTGTCTTGTCTTTTTTTTTTTTTTTTTTTTAAACGGGATTGAATCAGGTACTTTAACCACTCCGTCGTCCCCAGCCCTTTTTATATTTTAATTAGAGGCAGGGCCTCGCTGAGTGGCTTAGGGCCTCCATAAATGGCTGAGGCTGGCCTTGAATTCTCATCCTCCTGCCTCAGCCTCTGAGCACTGGATCACCCACAGCACCACCGGGCCCAGCTCATTTCCAGTTTCCTGGGAACCACACTTAAAACGTGAAGTTGACTTCGTGATGTGTCACTCAGCCCAGTGTGTCTAAGGCCATTTTAGCCTGTCGCCCGTACCTGGAAGGTGTTCACTGCTCTTTGACGTTTCTTTTCCACCCAGAAAGTTTGATCCGTGTTTAGAAACCACGAAATACTCAGTTGGAAAAAGCAGACTCCCATCCAGGAGGTCCCAGATACACCTCAGCCCCCGTAGTGTGGTTCCAATGACCCAATTTAGCACAAGTCTTAAATTTGATGAAATTATAATTCAGTTGCTTAGTGGCGCTGACCTGGGTCCAGATCCGTTTCCGGTGCGCGGGGTCCCGTAGGAGCTGCAGGGCGGGCGGCTGGCCCTCCAGGCACACCTTGGACATGGCCATCCTGGGCCATTTTTAACTCAGGAGCAAGTAGTGTCAAGTGGTGGCCGTGCCTCATCCCTGCCTTCTGACGTTTTAGGAGAGATTGCTCTGGATCATTGGTTCTCACCGGGTCTGTCCCCAACCTCCGTGTGCTCGGGCGCAGGTCATTTGAGTTGGCCCCATAAGTCACTGTTTTGCTCCTAAAATCCCCCAAGAGAGTGTCCACCTCCGTCCACAGGACACCCCCGCAGGCCCGGCACCCGATTCCCAGAGGCGGGTGGGATGGTCCACTCCTCTGAATCCAGGGGACCAGCGGCCTGGGTGGGCCCAGTGAGCTCTGTGACATCCAGATGAGGCGGTGGAACCCGGAACCCGAGGGCCAGCGGCGGGTACTGGTCTGACAGTTACCCAGCAGCCAGCCAAGAGGACGCTGCCCTCAAGCCACACAGGCCAGGCCCTTCCATGTCCGCAGCTGGCGGGGACCACGGCAGGCCCAGGTGAGTGCGGGGTCCGCCAGGACCCACTGGGCCCCGCCCCGTCATGCCCTGTCCCTCCTGGCCGTCCCCTCTGGCAGGCCAGGCTCCTGGAGGCCCTGGGCACCCGCCTGCACGTCCAGAGGGTGCGTGGTGTCGGGGACCCGGGCCCCGGGGTCACAGGCTGGGACAGCCACGCGTTCCCGCGAAGCAGGTGTCCATCTGTCCTGGGCAGGATGGATGTCCTCTCTGGTGCTTCTCAGTCCAAGGCCGCGGTCACACACTCACGCACAGCCACCTCGTCTGTGCGGTGACAGGAGCGGTGACAGCTGTCCTCCCCACTCTCAGGGTAGACGTTCACTCCACCACACCTCAACGGCCACCCTCTCCTGCCCCAGGAAGGTCCCCCCGGTGGCCGCGGCCTGGCTGGGGGCCTTCCTGGGGCCTGCGGTGCCTCTGAGGCGTCCCTGAACTTGAACTTGACCGTCCTGTCCCCCCACCTGCCCAGGCCGCCGACCCCCGCAGCTGCTGTGGCTCAAAAAGTCCAGGAGGGGGACCCTGTCCCCGTCACAGACCCTTCCGAGCACCGTGCTGCCGTCGCTGTGGGGACACACACGGTTGTCATTTGTCGTCTGGCCCAAAACGATCACCCTCAGCGGAAGCCCCTCTCGCCGGCTGCCGAGCTCGGGTCTGTGATGGTTTCGCAGGGACGTGGCCTCGGTGTCCAGGGCCCTGTGGTTTTTCCTTTCGTTTAACGTCTTAAGGTCGGAGCTGCTGGGTTATTTTAATCGCTGCCCTAACAGGCCATCAAGGTGACACGGATTGTCACCTGTCCGCGTCACCAAGAGGGACGCAGTGGCTGGGGCATCTCTGACTTTGACCCCAGCGCCGTCTCTAAAGCCATCGCTCTGAGCGGAGGCCCCACTCGGTCACTGGGCCGGTCACTTTGTTTTGCGATGGGCCCTGTCCGGAGAGCCACCTCCGCAGTGGCCCTGGGCACCCCAGACGCCCCCTGGTGAGGAGGAGGGTCCTCTGGACAGTCCCCCCGGGCGGCTCCTTCATCTAACATCACCTGCCCGTCCCCTCCCCCTGCTGACAAGATCCGAGAGTCTGTCCAGCTGTCCTGTGGGCCAGGCCACCACAGCACGGCACCTGGCGCCCGCCCAGTGTCCTGTCCACTTGGTCATTGCAGCATGTGGCCGTCCCAGCCTCAGGCCTTGACCGAGAGCCTTCCTGGCCCGGGAGAGCCAGGAGCCGGAGGAGAGGGCCAGGAGGGGCAGGACCAGGGGACCCCAGCCTGGGAGGTGGGGACCAGTGTCCCGCGTGACCCATGGGAACATCACAGTCCCAGGCTCAAACCCACATTCATGGTCATCGAGGGCCTGAGCCAAGCTGGGTGCAGGGCGCACGCCTGTAATCCCAGCAGGTCAGGAGGCTGAGGCAGGAGGATCGCAAGGTGGAGGCCAGCAGCTTGGCCAGCTGTCTAAAAATAAAAACGACTGGGGACGTAGCTCAATGTCAACGTGCCCCGGATTCAGTCCAGTCCAAAAAAAAATGCATTGGACTAATTGAGTCGTTCCTTAAGTCCTTTTAACATTTCTCATATGATTTTAAGTTTTATTTTCTGGGAACGGTTTCATGAAACTTTGCTGGTGGCCACCTCTGTGGGTCCCTCAGGCTGTCTGTCGGACGTCCGTGTCACAGCTATTGTTCAGTTTCTGGCCCTTGGGAACCCCAGATTTAGCATGGTAGACTACAGAAGGGACAGAGGCCAGCAGTTTCTGCCCCCATTTGCAGAGATGAGACTTCACGTTGGACAACTTCCACTAAAGGTGACATAGTCGAGGACTGTCATGCACCACTTAAGGATGGGAATGTGTCATTAGGTGATTCTGTCTGTGCAGACGCTGTGGGGCCCGAGGGGTATACATCAGCCCCTCCGCTAGCCTCCTGCTGCGTTCAAGGGACAGTAAACGAGATGTATGGGGGCAGCTGGTGGCTTAAGCAGCCTGTTGGCCACGGTGTGAGTGTTGGTTGACTGTCCCCCGAAGATCCTTTGCCATTAAAGGCTCATCTGCAGGGGACGGCATTGGGAGTTGCTATGAACCTTTAAAAGGTCAGGTCTAGTGAAAGGTCCTGGGGCCACGTTGATATAACACAGCCAGGAACATACCCAACACCATGCCCTTGAACCACGTCCACTCTGAGCCAAATAAACCTCTTTGCTTCATAAGCAGCCTGTCTCAGGCATTTTGTTGCAGTAACCCACTGCTGACAAATACGCTTTCACAACAAATTTGCTCTTATAAGTAGAACACTCTAATGATTAAAAATAGAGAAAACACCCAGACCAGCTCCCTAGTTATGACCCTTGTGTATTGTGTACCACATGTAATTTGCACGTGCTACGCTGTCACATGAGCGGCCGCACAGTGGGTGTGTTCACTGTTCCTGTGGCCAGGAGCCCCCCTTCCTGTGCACCTGGCAGCTCTTGCTCATCCCCAGGAACATCCACCAGCACCGCTCCCTTTGGCTCCCTTCCTTGGATGTCCCCAGCACTGTGGACGTCCCTCCACGAAGAGTCACTGCCACCGTCCTGTTTTGTCAGCCACTGAGCGGTTCCGGGGCAAGGCCCACATCTCAATGACCTAAAGATGAATGGCAGAATAAGAATGGAATAAATGGAAAGGAGAGATGATCTCGTGGGACTGGTTGTCAGTCAGGATGAACCGAGATCTGAATTAAGTGGCTTAAGGACATGAGTGGCTCAGTCTGGGGCCAGAGGAGTTTGGAGGTAGATGGTGAAGGGATGATGGGGGGTAACGCATAGCTTTCCTCTTCAGGGTAACCTCATGTCTCAAAATGGCTGCTGGAGCTGCAGCCATCTCATCCCATCCGGTCAGGAAGGGTAGTGGCTAAAGGAAAAGTGTTTTTCTATGAAGGCAGCCTCCTGTGAAAGACAGCTCAGGGTCTTGTAGCCAACAGCTCTTGTCTTCCTCTCCCTGGCCAAACTAGTCACGGGCGTGGTCACTTCTAGCTGAGCTTTGAAGAGATGTGACCATAAACAGGTCATCTAAGCATTAGAATAGAAATAGCATTTCTTCTAAAAACAGTCTTTGAATCCGGATTTATATTTCTCCAAAGAAGATGCAGGCCTCTAATCCCAGCAGCTTGGGAGGCTGAGGCAGGAGGATCACAAATTGGAGGCCAGCCTCAGCAACTCAGTGAGGTGCCAGGCAACGCTGTGAGGCCCTGTCTCATTTTAATAAGCAAGCACAGGAAGGGTCCTCCAGGGTGTCACTTCACATCCACTGGGATGACCCTGGAATCCAAAAGACGTAACAGGTGTGGACAAGGACATGGGGAAATCGGAGTCCTGACGACACTGCTGTGGGACCACACAGGGTGCAGCCACGTCGGGAAACAGGCAGTTCTTCAAAAAGGGACGCGTTGAGTTTTGGTATATGACCCAGCAGTACCCACGGGGACCAAAACCCTTCCCGTGCCCTCGCCAGCAACTCTGTGACAAGCCTGCCGGCTGGGGCCACCAAACTTGGACAGCAGGGACGACTTGGGGACCTCGCCTGCAGAAACTTGTGTGTGCGCTGGTCACCGCGTTGCTCAAAATCGCGGGAAATCGGAGACAAACTGAAATGCACATCCACCGACAGACAGGGCAGCGGATCGTGGAGTCATCTCTGTGCCCAGAAATCCTTATTCAGCCATAAAAAGTGACCAAGTCCTTCTGCCTGTGGCAGCAGGGAAGAATCTCAGAAATGTCACACCAAGTGGGAAAAAAAGCCGGTCACAAAGACTCCAGATTGTGCAGATCCATTTGTAGGGAATCCCAGAACAGGCAGATCTGTAGAGAAGAAAGGGGACGGGTGGTGGCCCGGGGGTCAGGGGCCGTGGGGTGACAGTCAAGGGGCTTCTTCAGGGGCTGATGCGAGGGTCTGAACTTGGGGGATAGGGTCAGAGGCCTCTGGCTGGTTGCCCGGATGACCAAGACTCTCAGTGGTCTCTTTGTTCTGTGCACGCGACGTTTCCGCGTCTGCAAAACAGGAGGTCAGCAGAGAGACCTGGGATGTGCCAACCAGTAGGACATGAGGCTGTGCTCCGGGGGTGCTCAGTGGATCCTTGGGAATCTTGTGGTTGATGGGTGAGCAGAGACGGCTGCAGGGCCCCGGGGAAGGCGAATGGTGTTTGGAAAGGTGACCGTGCTTGGTGACGCCTGTCCCAGAGCTCTGACTCCCCCTGAGCAAGGCGAGAGAGATGGGAGAGCCTGCACAGGTGCGTGACCGTGAACCTGCTCCCGGAACACGGCCGGTGTGCGCTCCGGAGAGCTGGCCTGCATGGGGAACTTGGGGTGGCTGCGGAGGACGCTGTTGGAAAAGCAAATGAATGAGGGTCTCCTGGGCGGTGACATGGAGGAGTGGTCAATGGGATGGCTGGATGGCTCAGGGCACTGAGCAAGGTGGCAAAGGCCTGTGATCCCAGCAGCTTGGGAGGCTGAGGCAGGAGGATCACAAGCTGGAGGCCAGCCTCAGTGGTGCCCGCCTGTCATCCCAGCAGCTGGGGAGGCTGAGGCAGGAGGATCTCCAGTTCAAAGGCAGCCTCAGCAACTTACTGGCCACTGAACCAGGAAAGTGCCTTCTCAGCAGGCTTTTCTGTCGGCCCTGGGACGTGCACGTTGGACAGTGCCACGCCTGTCCCCATGTGTGACCAGGACCTTCCCTGTCCCCCGTCTCTGGGGACAAAGCCAAGGCCATGTCCTTCTGTTTCCGTAGGCTCTTACCAATAGGCCACGAGTACGGCGTCCACCCTGGGATCTCTCCAAAGGTACCTGGGGCCTTGCTTTGTTCCCGGGCCTGAGTGTCCCCAGCCCCCCAGACTCCTCCTGTGGGAGACTTTGGGGGACCTCCCTCGGGCCCTTCAGGGGGAGACGGGAGGGTGGGCAGCCTTGGTCCTGCTGGGGGCACCCACCCTGGTTCCTTCTGTTTCCCAGGGAGGAACCTCGGGATCCATGGCCTGTAAAGGCCCCTTGAGCCCTGCCACTCCGTCTGTCCCCAAGGCTTCCCTGTAGACCAGGCCGTGTGCTCTCAGGCGCCCCTCGACAGCCGCAGGCGTGTCCCCCTGAGATGGACAGTGTCACCTAGCCGCGGGCACGCGTGGGCAGCATGAGCGACAAGGGCAACCGCGAGCTGTACCAGCAGTACACGGCCTTGGCCCCCAGGCTGCTGGCCCGCGTCTCCAAGCTCCTCACCCTGTGCCGCGGCGCAGGCATCGCCGTCCCCAAGGGCATCCGGAACATCTTTGAGTTCACCTGGGAGGAGCTCATCACCGACCCCGCGGTACCCACCGCGTCCAGCATCCCAGGCCTGGAAGTCAGCCTCGGGTGTCCCCCAGTGCCACCCGTGGAACCCACCCCGGTGCCATATCTGGTGCAGAAGAAGCCACCCCCAGCTCCACCCCCGCCGTCCACCCTGCCCATGGCCCCGGGCTCAGCCAAGCTGTCCGGCCCCTCTCCCGTCCCCGCCCGCCACACGGGCCAGGAGACCCTGCACAGGTTCCAGCGACAGTCCATCCACCTGCTGACCGAGCTCCTCACCCTGAAGATGAAGGCCATGCTGGAGTCCGCCTCGGGTAAGGCCACCGGGTCCCCCCAGCCCCCTTCTGGCCCAGGCGGGCAGACGCACGTCCACCGCGCCCAGCGTCCCTGACAAAATCCAGAATGTTCCAGAATCTGAGCCTTCCAGAGCGCTGACCGGATAGCACAGGTGCAAAGTCCCTCCGCAGTAGAGGCTGCTGGACGGTGCATCATTCAGATGCCTGCAGCCTCCGCCTCCAGCCCCGTGGGTGGGAAGAGACAGTGACAGTGACAGGGACAGAGGATAAAGCGCCCCCTGATGGGTCTCGAGACCCTTTCCTTGACCCCCTGGCTGACCTTCGGGTGTCTGTCCACTCTGCCCTTTTTCCCGGAGCCATTGGCAAAAGGCGCACTGCACGCGGCAGCCTGTGGCGGGAGGGACACGAGTTGCCCAGAACCGTCCTTTAGCAGGTGCCAACCCCATGGACATCACCAGGCGCTTTGTGGAGGCCAGCCAGCTCCTGCACCTCAGCGCCAAGGAGACGGCCTTCGACTACCTGATTGGCACCGTCGGGAGGAACGGCTACAGCGCAGGGCCTGCCGCGAGAGGTGGGCACCCGGCCTCGGCCAGCCAGGGGGGACCAGGCAGCTGGTGTGGGGCCTCAGGGGCCGCAGGGAGGCTGGAGAGTCCCCACCGGGAGCTGCCTGGGGACCTCTGTGAGGAAGTCAGATAGGAAGGGCCACTGCAGAGTTGTGTGGAGTGGCCAGGACGTTGGGGCAGTGTCCCTGTCAATGCACAGTGGTCCCCTTGGACCAGGGGACGCCAGGAGGGGGTGGATGGAGCACTCACACACACAGGAGTGGTGACGCGTCCCCAACCACAGCGACAGGCAGAGAAAGGCTGATTTTCTTTCCCCCAGTGATGTTTTATAGCTTTTTAAAATATATATATATTTATTTTTAGCTGGACTAGGACACGACACCTTTATTTACTTATTTTGATGTGGTGCTGAGGATCGAACCCAGGGTCTCGCACATGCTAGGCGAGCGCTGTACCACTGAGCCCCAGCCCCAGCCCCGATCTTTTATATCTTAAGCTTTAGTAGATTCCCAAGCACTTGCCTAGCACGTGTGAGGCCCTGGGTTCGATCCTCAGCACCATATAAAAATAAATGAATAAAATAAATGTCCATCAACATCTAAAATTTTTTTTTAAATTCCTGTTAAAAGTTTTTATAGGGAAACATTAAAAAATCTATGTCATTGCCGGACGGGGGACTACACACCTGTCATCCCAGGGGCTCGGGAGGCTGAGGCAGGAGGATCGCAAGTTGGAGGCCAGCCTCAGCCAAAGCGAGGCCCTCAGCAGCTCAGGGAGACCCTGTCTCTAAATAAAATGCAAAATAGGGCTGGGGACGGGGCTCTGTGGTCGAGGGCCCCCGAGTTCAATTCCTGGGACAAAAAAAAAAAAATTAAGATGATAAACGGAAAGAAGACACCCCCCCTGCTCCTCCCAGAGTCCCTGACGAACATGTCGGCCATGGGCGTGAACTCGCCTTACCAGCTCATCTACCAGTCTTCCACCGCGTGCCTCAGCTTCTCCCTGTCCACCGGGAAGGAGATCAAGAAGAAAACAGGTGGGGGTCCCCAGCAGGGCCCTCTGTGGGGGGCATGGGGTGGGGGGCTGCCAAGGCAGGAGACCACGGACGTCCCTTGGCGGATGGTCAGGCCTGGGCTCCTGATGGAAAGGCACAGATGTGCTGGTCCCTCTGTCCAGGCTCAGATCCGTGTGGCCACAGCCACCGGGGGGACTAGAGTCTCCGCAGACGTGCTGGATCCCAGACCCACTGGGCCCTGGTTGATGTCCCCAAATTAGGCTGTGGATCCATGACTATCTTGTGCCCAGCCCCGCCCCCGTGACGTGACCCTTTCTTTTTCCAATTATGAATTTATACATTAAAGGAGAGGGACGAGCAGGGGCCACCCTCCCGGGCTGGGGACTGTTGGGGTCTCTGCTTGGTGAACTTTGAACCCTGAAAGCACTAGTGGCGGGGTTCAGTCACTGACCCTCAGTCCTGAAGCCACTTGGAAGGTCGAGTGGCTCCTGTGTCATCAGAACCACCCCCTGACCTCTTGGCCTCCAGGTCCCGGCAAACTCAAGATCCCAGAGGACTCGAGTATGTCACCCCCTCAGCGCACAGTGGGACCGTCTCCGGAGAGCGTGGAGTTCACCGACCCCTGTCCCGAGGCTCGGGAAAAGCTGCAGGAGATGTGTCGCCTCATGTGAGTGCCCGTGACGGGGTGGGGACAGGTGTTCTCAGAAAACCCCCCCTGGCCCAAAGCCCCCCCGAGTGTTTTGGTGTGGTGTGGTTTTGGGGAACCCGGGATCGAACCCCTGGGCGCTCTTAACCACGGGAGCCACATCCCCAGCCCTTTTCATTTTGGATTTTGAGACAGAGTCTCTCTAAGTGGCTTGGAGTGGCTCCGTTGCGGAAGCCAGCCTCCAACCTGCGATCCTCCTGCCTCAGCCTCCTGAGGAGCCAGACCATAAAAGATCTAAAAATCTCTTCCCATCTCCGTCACATATGTCCCTGGGGGTCACTGGGCCAGGACATGGGCAGCTTACCGGCCCTCCACCCCCCTTTACCTTTGTTCTATGACCTTCTGGAAAGAAGTTCTCTTCCCAGGACCTCGGGACGGAGGTGGGGGCTGAGCAGAGCATCCCAAGCCCCCTCCTGGGCACATCCCCACCCCCTTAGGTCCTTGTCCCCACCCTCCAGCTAGCCGTCAGTCCAGGGCTGGTGTCGGGGGGCTGCCACCTTCCAGTTCCTCCCGAGGATGCCGAGGACAGGGACACGTACTGGGGACACTTGGTTATTGGGGACCGCGCTGTGGCTTCTGGAAAATTCTCTGGTCTCCTTGGCTGCAGAGAAGCGGAGAGGACCTCGTGGAAAGGCAAGAACGTCTTCTACCCCACGATCCTCCGCAACTACTCCACCAAGCTGCCCCTGCACCCCTCCAAGGGGGACGCGCAGGCGCTGGGGGTGCAGCCGTCCCACGTGGTGTGCGCTCCCGTGGCGACGCCCTTCGCGCACCCGGCTCCCGCCCAGGCCGGCTCCCTGCTGCGGCACTCCCAGGAGTGGAAGGTGCCCAAGAAGAGCGCCAAGCTGCACTACTCCTTCTACGACGGCTCCTCCTTCGTGTAATATCCTTTGGGGCCTGTCCCAAGCCCAGGGAGCGCGGGGACTGGCCCAGCCTCCGTGGGAGCCCCAGCTGAGGCCCCCCCCATGTGCCAGGCCCCAGGTCCCTGCCAGGCTCTTGTCCCCAGGCCGGTCCCCGCTGAGAGCTGAGGACCTTTCTTTGCTTCTCTGCCCGTGACTCAGTGGTTAACCCCCAGGTCCCTGCCCGAAGGACCCCAAAGGTCCACGTGTGCAGAGTCTGAGCCTCTCCCCGGATGCTCCAGGCCTGGCCCACGGTGCAGGACACCCAGCGTCCCCCCAGGCCTGCTGAGGGACCCCGGGACCACAGTTTCACAGGAAGTCGCTGGGCTCTGAGACCCTCACAAAATCTTTGGTTCACTGCAGCTGGCTCAGGTGACACGCCCCAACAGGGACCCCATCCCAGCAATGAGGCATATTTTTTACCTCTGGGAGTCACAAGGGGTCTGGGCTCTTGGTTCCGTCTTTCTGGGTGACTCCGTACTCGTGACTTGGTCTCTGTGCCTCGCTCTGTGTCTGTGATTCCAAGATGAGGCGGTCACCCATGGCCAAGGGCGCACGTGACCCCGAACCTACTGGAGCAAAGGCGCGTCTTCAACCAATGGCGCCGGGAAAAACTGGGAAATCCACGTGCAGCAAAAATGGAATTGGGCCCCCTGTCTGTCACCATGCACGGGACCCAACTCAAAGTGGATCAGGGACCTCGGATGAGGCCAGAGACCCTGCGCCCAGCAGAAGAAAAAGTGGGTCCCAATCTCCATCCCGTGGGACTAGACCCCAGCTTCCTTAATAAGACCCTGGAGAGCAAGAATCAGAACCAAGAATCAGCAAATGGGATGGAATCAACCCAGAAGCTTCTTCTCAGCAAACGTGACCATACTGCACTTCCATCCTCTTATCAGATCCACGACCCGAAAACATTTCCCTGACACTTTGTAGTGCCTCTCCATTCTCTTGACGTCACCCTTTGGTGGATGAATAGATTTACTGGGGGGCGGTGCTGGGGGCTGAACCCGGGGCCTCACGAACCCTATCCCGGGTCCCCAGGATATCAAGCGAGCCTCAGCCCCCCAAGTTTTCATTCTGCTGAAGTCACGTTTTTTTTTGCTGCTGTGGTTGCTTATGTCATGGGATTAACATTTTAGAAACCATCGCCAAACCCCAAACCATCACGATGCACCCCTACCGTCTCTCCTGAGAGTTTGAGAGTCCCAGTTCTTCCACTTCGGCCTTCGCTCTATTTCAAGTTGATTTTTGCAAACGGTGTGAGCTCACATCCAGTTTCCTTCTCGGGCCTCTGGGTAGCCAGTCGTCCCAACAACGTTTGTCCCCAGCGAATGGCCTCGCCCCTCTTGTTAGAATCCAGTTGATTCTAGGACTGGGGATGGAGCTCACTTGGTAAAGTGAGAATGTGGGTTCTGCTACAGTGTCCTGTACGTTGCCTGTTAGGTCTGTTATTTGACCCTGTGTTCAAGTCCTCTAATACCCGATCAGTGTTCTGTCTACCCATTACGGAAGGTGAGACAGTGATGTCTCCAACTATTATGACAAAGCTGCTTCTTCCTTTAATTCTGTTAATTTGCTTCATATAGCTCAAAAACAAAAAGGTGTATATTTATCTACAATGTTATATGTTCTTGAGATATTCACCCTCTTCTCAATATGTAATGTTCTTTTTTTGTCCCTTGTAAAAGGTCCTTGTTGGACCTGAAGTCTGTTTTGTGTACTATCAGTGTATCGTATTCTCTCTGGGTCCTGATTTGCATAGAATACCTTTGTCCATCATTTCACGTTCACCCAAGTTGTGTCTTTGGATCTAAATGGAGTCAACTTCATAGAGTTGCGACGCTTTTTGTCACTGCCAGTCACTGCCCTTTGGTTGGAGAGTTTAGTCCACTTACATTTAAAGTGATTTCCAATTCGGAAGCATTTAAGTCTGCCACTCTGCTACTGGTTTTCTACATGTCTTATGTCTTTTTTTTCCTCCATTATTGGCTCTGTGGTATTTGATTTTTTTTTTTTTTGTAGCATGCCGTTTTGATTCATTTCCTTTTCATCATATACTCATTTTCTTAGTGGTTACCTTGATAGTGGATTTAATAGTGTATCCTCAAAATTCACGTCTATCTGGAACTTTGTGGCAGTTTGTTATAATAGCCCTAGGAAACGGGTACTACAACTGACAAAATCATTTGAATTAACAAAATCCCTCAATAGTATATAAAACTCTTGTTCCTAAATAGCTCCACCCCTCCCTTTTAAATTATTATTATCAGAAACTAGACCTTTGTAGGTGCACTCTTTGCCCGTTAACAGATGGGTAATTGTTGCTTTATTATTTATCATTCAAACCATGTTTCAAGAGGAAAAATTTCAGCAGAAAATATAGGAATACTCAATTTTTTAGATTTTTGTTGAGAAACCAGCTATTGATCTTCTTGAAGGTCCCTCTTACATGTGTCTCTTTCCTCTTGCTATTTTCAAGATTCTCTGCTTTTTTCTTTGGATGGTTTAATTGAACTGTGTTTCAGTGTGAAAGATCCTTGAATCAATCCTACTTGAAGTTGGAATATGCAGATTCATGCCTTTCATCAAATTAGAGGAGCATCGGCCATTATTTCTTCGGATACTCTTTCTTTCTTCTCTCTCTAGCTTCGTCAGGGGATCATTACGCATGTGTTGGTACCTTGGATGGTCTGCCAGAGGCCATTGTGAATTCATTACTTTTCTTTATTCTCTTTTCTTTCTGCTACCCATTCTTCTGGATAATTTTAACGGACTTATCTTTGAAGACAATGATTTTTTTTCTTCTAGTACTTCTAATCTGCTGTTGAATTTGTTTAGTGAATTTTTTATTTCAGTACATTCAGCTCCAGGATTTCTTTTAGGTTATCTATTATTATTATTATTATTATTATTATTATTATTATTATTATTATTATTTCTATCTGTTAATTTCTTCGCTTTTCAGCTGACCATAATTATTTAGGAGAGTAGATCCCAGTGCCAATCACCGAAGTGTCCAGGGTACCACTTCTGAAGCCCCTGCACGCCAGACAGTGGCCACCAACACCGTGTCCTCCTTGGGCAGGACTAAGGCTTCTGGGGGCCTCTTTGGCGGGAAATCGACAGAGAAAATCACTCTTTCTCCTAGATCGGAGGCAGCCTGGCAGAACTAAATGGCTCCAGAGATCAGATCCTGGCTCTGCCACCGATTTCCTTGGGGATGTGACATGGAACATTTTCAGTAGAATGACCTTGGTCCTTGCTTTCCCGGGACTTGACTGACGTTAGCACTGAAAGTTGCGTGTCCCCCAAACCCGTGAAGCCCAGGAAACTCTTCTGTGTGAGACGGCGACAAGACCACCCTCCACAAGGTGGGCGGCAAGAAGATGCAGGGACACTCCTGGGTCTGCTCTAGTTGTCCTTGACCCTTCCCGCCAGCTATCCTTCTGGAAACGTCGCCATGTGCCAGATCCCGACCTGCTGCCGGGCCAGAGCCGTCACCTGTCTTTTTAGTGACACACCTAACTTCACCTTCCTGGCCCTGTTCAGCGCCGAAGGCCACGGCTATGTCCACTATAACGCCAAGTCCCGGTAAGCGGGCAGGGGGGTCCCAGCCCCTTGGGGTAGTGGGGGGCACTGAATGGTGACCGCGAGTCCCTCTTAAGGGAGGACAGGTGGTGTTCAGAGGTCCCGGGAGGCAGCGAGGCAGGGGCCTGGCAATGCCTGCAGGAACACAGCCCTGGGAAGCCGCGCCCTCGCCAGCTGGGTGCCAGGTACAGCCCATGAGAAGCGCTACTCCCCAAGTCCTCCTCCTCCAGGCTCCCAGAGATCTTGACTGTTGGTGGCAGTTCTTCCAGAATCCTTCCTTCCTTCCTTCCTTCCTTTTCCTGCGTGCTGGGGATTGAACCCAGGAGCCTTCTACCACCAGGCCCTTGTTATTTTGAGAAGGGTTTCACCGAGTTGCAGAGGCTGGCCTTGAACTTACAATCCTCCTGCCTCAGCCTCCCAAGTTGCAGGATCCCAGGTGTGCACCACCAAGCCTGCCTTCCGGAAGAATTCTTTAGTGGTGAAAAGCATCTTGTATCAGGAACGGGTGAAGGAGAGGCATGCGAAGCACTTCTGTGTGTTCTCTTAAGAGAAGCACATATTTTTTTTTTCCCAGCCAGAGGCTGATTTTTATGTGACTTTCCATAGGAACTGTTCTTTTTTTGCTTGAAGGAGGGTACTAGGGAGTGAACTCAGGGGCACTGGACCACTGAGCCCCATCCCCAGCCCTATTTTGTAGTTTCTTGAGAGACAGGGTCTCACTAGGTTGATTAGTGCCTTGCTTTGGCTGAGGCTGGCCTCTAACTCGCGATCCTCCTGCCTCAGCCTCCCAAGCCGCTGTCATTACAGGAGTGCGCCACGGTGTCTGGCAAGGAACACTTCTTAAAAGGAATGAGTTAACCCCATATTTGAAGTGTGCCAGTTCCCATTTTGATGCCTGCTAAGTTATATGTGCAGAGCACAAATTTCATTTCCTCCCTCCTGGGGTTTGGCCTGATGCTGTCAATCCTCCTCAGAATGGCGCTTCCTACAGACCCCCCCAGAGCCTCAGCAGGTGCCAGGGGACCTCAGAACATCCTAGACAGGGGACATGAAGCTGGCATCAGCCTGGGGCAGGCTCTCAGCGCTGCCTGCCCGTGGGGATGAGGGTGTCCCTCTGGGGTCTGGCAGCACCTTCTCACTCCGGCGTCTCTCCCAGCTCCCCGTACGTCTTGGTCTTCGATGACGAAGGCGGGACCACCAATGACCACAAGGGCTACATCGTCCACAAGTGGAGCTGGACCTCCAAGACGGAAACTCTGCTCTCCCTGGAGTACAAGGTAGGGCTGGGCGGTGGGGGTGGGCGGCAGCCTCCCAAGCCTCCCCCCAGGAGTCTGTGGTCTCGATGGGAGGTTCCAGGTCGGTGGGTTGCTGAGGCTGGCCTCTAACGCTCGATCCTGCAACTGGCACTGTTCTTCCTACTTAAATTTCACTATGAATATCATTATATTTTTTTTTTGTAAAAATATCCTTTACTTTTTGGGGCGGGGATTGAACTCAGGGGCACTCGACCACTGAGCCCACTCCTCAGCCCTGTTTTGCATTTTGTGGAGAGACAAGGTCTCACTGAGTTGCTTATCGCCTCGCTACGTGGCCGAGGCTGGCCTCCCACTTGCGATCCTCCTGCCTCGGCCTCCTGAGCCAAGCCCAGCTCCTTTACTTTATGAAGTGACAGTTACAGTAGTGGGTGGCTTTCTTTCCAATGCCTGTTTCGTGACAGTAGTGGGAGTCAGCCATTCTGTGCTGGTCTCAAGTTTTTATAACTTTATTATTATTTAAAAACAAAACAGGAGTCGAGATAGATGGCTGATGAACCCGTGTCTCACTCATTGGATTATCTGTCTGGTCATTCCTCAGACAGTCGTTCCATAGCAAGGGATACTGAACTTGTAATATTAACTGGCTTTAATACATTAACAAAGCCATCATATGTGCTCAGTTTCTCATCCCTGGTGCCAGTGACACTTGGGGACGAGGCCCTCTGCAGTTAGTTGTGTTGGGGCGGGGTCCTCGGCTCTGCATCTCACTGTCACTTTGGGCTTTGACTGAAATGCAGATGCGAGGCCCGGCCTCCAGGAGGCTCTGCCTCCGCAGGTCTGTCATGAGGTGGGTCCTTCGGTTGCCTTCTCCAGAGTGTGGCCAGAGCCCAGCTGGGTCCCTCCTGCTGTGTCTAGGGTGGACTGTCACGTGGTCATCACGTTTACGTCTCCCCTCCACGAAGACCGCAGATGGCTTGAGGGCAGGCAGCCTGAGTCCTAAGTCTTCAAGAGCTCACAGTTGCTTTGCCAGGCACGGTGGGCGGCACACGCCTCTGATCCCAACAGCTGGAGAGGCTGAGGCAGGAGGATCTCCAATTTAAGGCCAGCCTCCGCAGTTTAGCAAGACCCAATCAGAATGAAGTACAAAGGCTCTGGGTGCAGCCCAGTGATAGAGCGCCCCCTGGCGTCAACCCTGAGTACTACAAAAAGGAAAGAGTTCCCAGGCTTTTTGTGAATGAAAGCTGGGACCCAGGTAGTTAGTCTGATGCTGTAGGTGGAGAGAGGAGGAGGTATGGGTGTCAGGCTGGGGACTCTGCATGCTGTCTCGACTTGGGTGACACTCAGTCCGCCAGCCTCGGCTCCTCTCAGCTCAGCCGGCAGCCGCTCAGCCCTCAGGTCCCTGTCCCCACGCTGCCACCCGTCCTGGGTCGGCCGCTCTTGGGTGGCCAGTTTGCACCCAGGTTCTGGGCCCTCCTTCTTGCTTGGACCCGTCCCTTCTGCAGTTCCCTCCCCATGACTGTGGTGCACCCGGGTTCTCTCTTCTGGGTTCTGGTGCCAGGAGAGATGGTAGCGGTTGGCCGTGGCCTTGGCCGTGGGTGACCTTCAGGGCTGGGAACACAGACTCTCCCACCCTCGTCCCCAGAATCCCCGGCCTCATGGTCACTCTTGGAGCTTTGGGGCTCTTCCCCTTCAAGTTCATGGCCGCCCACGGGGGGGTCAGCCTGGAGAGCCTGGCTCAGCTCTGCTGGTTGGTCTTGGTGCTTTGCTCCGTGCACTGAAGCCGGGTGCTCCACACGGGCCCTCCGCCCCAGCGCCTCCTTGTTCCATTAGTTCCCTTAGAGACAGGGTCTTGCTGTGCCTTACGGCCTCGCTCAATGCCTAGGCTGGCCTCAAACTCGCAATCCTCCTGCCTCAGCCTCCAGCTCGCTGGGATTAGAGGTGTGGGCCCACCGCGCTCAGCCAGCTGTTGGCTTTGGAAGGACAGGAGTCCCGGGCCAGCTTTTGCATGGGGACCTGGCAGGACAGGGCCAGGCCACACATGGACCAGGGGACAGCCGAGGGATTCCAAGTGTAGGCAGCACTTTTCTTTCTCTTTATGAGAGGCCCTTTCATTCAAAGGACTTCATGGTCTCCAGGCGAGGGCGGTGGGGACGGGGAGCGGGGGACAGAGTTACAGATGATTTCATGATGAGGGGTGACTGGGGAACCAAGAAGCGTCCCAGAGAATCGGGGAGCCCAGATGGCTTCAGATGGGTCCCTTTGCCTCCCGATCGGGCCCTCGGGTGAGAGATGGGGGCGATGGGTGAGGCATGAGGGGTGCGGCAAGCAGTGGGTGTGGGCCGCTGGGCCCCCGACGGAGTCCGTGGAAGGAAATGGAAGGGGCCAAAAGAGAGGGTCCTGGTCCAGAGGAGTCCCGGGAGTGTGCAGGGAGGGACGCTGAAGATGGGCAGGAGCAGGGCCCTCCAGGACCGCGTGGCTTGCTGACTGCAGGCAGCTGTGTGTCGTTAGGAAGGTAGCTCAACCTCTCTGAGCCCCTGTCTTTGGAAATGGTGAAAAAGAGCTCCTGTCCCTTCGCACCATCTTGGGCTCCCTCTTGGGGTAAAGAATGGCACTTAGTGACTCTAGGGGGATGGGGGAGCGGCCATGGCTCAGCCCCTCTGGTTCCTGCCATCTGCCCACCCACCTCGGGGGGTGGCTTTCTGGCTCGACCCGCCGTGTCACCTTCTGTTTGCTACAGGACAAGAGTCGCAGTCCCACCTGGTGTCTGGGTACTGAGTAGCCCAGCTGCCCGTCCAGGGACAGAGGCCGAGCTTCTGAGCCCCGCTGTCCCCGGCCACGGCTGGACTCCAGCTGGTCACGCTGGGGCTGGGGCCTGAGCTGCTGGGCGTGTCCCCTCCTGCCGGATCCCAGCCAAGGGCCAGAGGGACCCTGTGCCTCAGGACGGGGTGTGAGGGACAGGCAGGCCTCTGAGCGCCACCTTCCTGTCTGCAGGTGAACGAGCAGATGAAGCTGACGATGCTGGGGCAGGACTCCGTGGTGGTCACCTTCACGTCCCTGAACGAGACAGTGGCGCTCACCGTGTCGGCCAGAACCTGTCCCCACGGGACCATGCCAGAGAAATGGGTAAGGCAGAGCGGGGCCTGTCGCCGTGACCTGCCGCTTCCTGTCCCACTGCCCACCAAGGTCCTGTGTCACTCTACTGTCACCCACCGCTTAACCTTAGTACCTCCTTCTTGTCCTTAGTGAACTTTTGGTATCAGTCAGGAGTCTGTCACTTGTCAGGGGCAGAATCCAACGTGGATGGGCTTCACCGCGACAGAAGAGCATGTCGGCTCAGTGAGCTTGAGAAGTCTGCTGATGGGCGGCTTCAGGCACGGCTGGATCCAGGCCCTCCCGAGATTCCACGAGACGTTCCCCTCCCTTGGTCCTGCTTTAGTCCGGGTCAGACTTAGTCTCATAGTTTCTCTCCTAATGGCCACAAGCATCTCTGAGCTCTTATCCTACCCGCGGTGGCGTCCCACGTGCTCCAGCGGGAGTGCCAACGTCATGCCCAGCGGGCGTGAGGCCCTGGTTCAGTCCCAGGACCACAGAGAGCGAGGAGGAGGAGGAGACAAAGCGACAGCATCACTGCTCCGACGGCTGCCCGTGACTCAAGTGTCCCCCGTGCACGGCCCCAGCGGGCCACACTTGAGTGTCACACCGTCCTTAGGGTCAGGGTGTGACATGAGCTTCACATGAACCTCAGGGGCGAGGGACAAGGCAGAGTGTTGTCCTAAAGGCAAATCAGGGCGCCTTGACCAGGAGGAGGAGAAGGGACGCTGGACAAAATTCGAGGACATATTGAAGGCCCTGCACCCCCCGGCCCCTCCAGGTCCACTCTGTGCCTCCTGCTCAGCAGCCCCTCCCCCGGCAGTGACAGCTCCAACATGGCACTCCTTCATTGTCACCTCCCCCAAACTGGGGATGGCCTGGGGTTCCCAGGGGCTCTTAACCCCCGGAGCCCCGTCCCCAGCCCTTTTTATTTTTTTATTTAGAGTCAGGGTCTCCCTGAGTGGCTCAGGGCCTCACTGAGTTGCTGAGGCTGGCCTCCTACTCTCGATCCTCCTGCCTCAGCCTCCCACTCCCACGCTGTGTTAAGTGAGGAACATAGAGAGCGTTGGTCCTGCCCGCCAGGAGCCGGCCAAGTATAGGGACAAAGGAAGCCAAAAAACGAACAAGACCCCAGGCAGACAGGAGTGGGTGGATGTGGAGGTTGAGCCGAGAGCAGTTGCCATTGGCTGAGGAAATCAGAAAGGTTCTGGGAGAAGACATCAGGCCCCGCTGGGCCTCAGTCTGGAAGCTGTAGCTGCATGGAGCTGCCCACGATGTCCAGACCAAGTCTGCGGTTGGCTTCCCTGGGAAACGGCCCCTGGAATGGAGATAGGTGTGCAGGAGTCATCTGGGACTCCCAGAAGGAGTCGAGGCGAAAGTCCTCGGCCTTTGTGCCCCCCAGTGACCAGTCAGTCTCTGTAACCTTGGTCAATGACAAGTTGTCACCTGGGAGCTGGTGGCAGCCAGTACTCTCCCACCGCACAGGGCAACGGGTAGCCAAAGCGCCACACTTCACGGACAGCATCTATTGAGCTCCTTCTGTGTGATAGGCACTGAGACCCAGAGACCATCACTGTAACAAACCGCCTGAGATAATCAGCTTAGAAAGAAGAAAGGTTATTTTTTGCTCACAGTGTTGGAAGTTCCGGTTCACGATGCTCTCTTGTTTGGGGCGTGTGGCAAGGCAGCGTGCCATGGCAGGGGCGTGTGGTGTGGGACAGAACCACCGACCTCATGGCCAGGAAGGAAAAGAGAAAGAGGAAAGGGCTGGAGTCCCTCAGACCACCTCAACAAAGGACCGCCCCCAATGACCTAAAGTCCTCCCGCTAAGCCCCACCTCTTAAAGGCTCCACTCCACCCCAAGAGCCACACTCTTATCACACGGGCCTTTGGGGGACGGTCAGCCTCAAGTACTTAGCAAGTCACGGGACGGAGAGGGAGAGGGGTGCTGCAGGCGGAGGGGGACAGGTGGCACGACCCCTGCCCTTTCTTCCCTCAGCTGTCCCGCAGGCTCGGGGGCTCGGACGACAAGGTGTCAAAGCTGACCCGGGCCCTGGCGGAGATCAAGAGGAGGTTCCAGAAGACGGTGACGCAGTTCATGAACTCCATCCTGCTGGCTGCAGGTGAGGGCAGCGGGCGGCCACCGGGTGGGGACTGAGCTCCTCCCCGCCCGTCCCACCTGGGGACCCGGGCAGCAGGGGTCGGGCCCCGTTTGGTCACCCCAGGGGACCTCAGAGGGAGGGGGCCCTGTCCTGGGTCATCTGTCTATTCCGAGTCCACTCACTCAGTCAATGCTTGGACAAGGGAATGGAGGAAGAGAGGCCCTTGGCCTCCAAATTTTCCCGTCAAGTAGGGAAAGCAAGACGGGGATATAAATCGAACCGTCCTGTTGTGTGCCTGGACACAGAGGTCACAACGAATGTCACCATGAGGTACAACTGTCATGTACCAAGTACAGTGTAACAGAACGAGCCGTGGCCCACACCTGTCATCCCAGTGACTCGGGAGGCTGAAGCAGGAGGCTCGCAGGTTCAAAGCCAGCCTCAGCAACTCATGGAGGCCCTGAGCAACTCAGCGAGACCCTGTCTCTAAATAAAATGCCAACAAAGGGCTGGGGAGGGGGCTCAGAGGTTAAGTGCCCCTGAGTTCAATCCCCTATTCAAAAAAAAAAAAATGAACATTACAAAGAAAGTAGGAGGACTTCTATCTTGAAGCACAGGGAACAGCATTCTCAGAGCCTGGAACAGCATGATCCAGGAACTGACTGTGGACCCAAGCTCTGTGTTGGCTGCTGGGGCCAAGCCAGGCCCCTTGGGGAAAGTGGGGGGAAGGAGGGAGAGGCAGCCACTCTTAGGCTGATCGCTGGGGGGGCTACGGTTGGGGCCCGAGAATCTCTAGACGTGGACAAGCAGGGACGAGGTGAGCAGAGGGCGTTCCACTGGGTGGAGCCCAGGAGCAGGGACAAAGGTGGCCCGTCTGTGCTGACACGTGACAGCAGCAGCATGTCTTCTTACCAGGTCTGTTCACCATCGAGTACCCCGCCAAGAAGGAGGACTCCGACATGGGCCGGGTGAGGCTCAAGTCCGGGTCTCATCTGGAAAAGGCCTTCAGGTCCAGCTCCCACATGGCCGACCTCCTCTCCCGCTCCCAGTCGGCCCGGCCAGACTCCCTTGTCGAAGAGTCTATAAAGGAGGACGCAGAGTCCATTTCCATGAGCCCCTCCCGGAAGAAGGGCACCAGACTCCACGCCAGGGCCTCCCTCGCGTCCAGGTGGGCTGACCCTTCCCCCGAGGCGTCTGGGACGGGCAGGGAGGAGGACATGACGGGAGCCAAGTGCCACGTCGCTCCCTCCTGGAGCGGAGTCCTAGGGTGGGAGAGGGCAGGAGCTGACCTGGGTGCTGTGCACAGTTCTCCTGCCCGGGCCAGAGCCCAGGGAGAGCGGCTAGGAGAAGGGAGATCTAGAAAGTGCTGGAGGCCTGTCATCCCAATGGCTCAGGAGGCTGAGGCAGGAGGATGGAAAGTTTGGAGGCCAGGCTGGGCAACTTCTGTGAGGCCCTGTCTCAAAGTAAAATTCCAAGGCCTGGGGACGTGGCTCAGTGACAGGGCCCTTGCCTGGCATGGCGCGGTCCTGGGTTCCACCCCCCCCAATACCCCAAACCAAAAAAAAAAAGGAGGCTTAGACCATTGACCTCAGTGGAGGTCAGGAAAAGAGGCCAGCTCAGGGTCTGTCTTGACTGTCAAGGGGACAGGCCTGCAGAGCCCGCAGCAGGCCCTGGGGTGTGGGAGAGAGTCGCCCACCTCGTTAGCCCCCAGGAAACAGAGGTGCAGGGAGATCAGGGGCCTGCGAGGCCGAGCACACCTGGCTGGTGAGGCCAGACTGGACTCCGCCCACAGCCTCCCCGCCCCCCACAGCGGGTCCTTGTTCATGGGCAGCCCGGCTGGGGCAGGGGCCTGTGAGCGGCCCCCTGAGGACCCCTCTGGATGCTCCTGCCGCAGGGGGAAGATGGCCAAAGAGGTGCACAGCCCCACGCGGTGGGCGGCCTCGCCCTCCGACTGCCCCTTGGTGCTGCGGAAGCTGCTGCGCAGGGAGGACATCCGCGCCGGCTGCAGGTGCATGGTGAAGGCCCCCCTGGTGTCCGACGTGGAGCTGGAGCGCTTCCTGTCCGCGCCCCGCGACCCCAGCCAAGTGCTGGTGTTCGGGATCGTCTCGAGCCAGAGCCCGGGCAGCACGGCGCAGCTGCAGTGGGTGCTGGACACCCTGTACAACCACAAGCAGCAGGGCCGCGCCTCGCCCTGCATCCAGGTTGGTTTGGGCCCAGGGAGGAGACCCCAGAGGCCAGAGGAAGCCCCCGCAGCGCTGGGACCCGCTGAACCTCCCGCACAGAGGCCACACCCCTTCTCTTCCCCAGGGCCTTTGCACGTCCCGCCCTCTGCCCTCTGTTCCACTGTGCGCTAGGACTCTGCCAGGCCCCGGGGACCTCTGTCCACTCAGACACAAGCCAGGCCCTGCAGAAGCTTCTGGCAGCCCCAGGAGGCCCCAGGGAGGGCCATGACAGGAGAGCTGTCAGTGCCCAGGGCCCCGTACCAGTCACCTCCTGGATTCCATCAAGTGCCTCCCAGGATGAGTGGGGTTTGGGCACGTGGGTTGGGTTATGCACAGGTGTAAACTGCACAGTCTGAATTCATTGACGATGAAGCCTAAAGGGGACCTTAAGGAGCCATACGGAGGGTCTCACTCCTATAATCCCAGCAGAGGCTCAGGAGGCCGAGGCAGGAGGATCACAAGTTGGAGGCCAGCCTCAGCAATTCAGCAAGGCCCTGTCTCGAAATAAAAATGGAAGGACCTGGGGTGTGGCTCCATGGTAGAGTCCCTGGGTTCAATCCTGAGTATCCTCTCCCCAGAAATTTTTTTTTAATATTTATTTTTTAGTTGTAGCTGGACACAATATCTTTATTTATTTTTTATTTTTATGGGGTGCTGAGGATCGAACCCAGCACCTCGCATGTGCTCGGCCAGCACGCTACCGCTTGAACCGCATCCCTAGCCCCCCCAGCCCCCTTTTTACATTTTCTTTAGAGAGAGGATCTCACCAAGTTGTCTCAGGCTTTGCCAAATTGCAAGGCTGGCCTCCAACTTTCGATCCTCCTGCCTCAGCCTCCCAAACTGCTGGGATGACAGGCACGTGCTACGGCCCCGGCTCCGGGACTATTCACTGAGGCCCTGCTCTGTGCCCGTCCAGGGATCTGGTGGCCCTACCTAGAGCTCTGGGTTCGGTTCAGGTCCTGGCGCGGGACTGGACCCACTGGAAGGCGTGGGGGAGGGGCAGCCCCGGGGGACAGTTGGGGACGTCCTTGGTGCCATGGAGTGTGGACTCCTCAGCCTGGATGCAGGTCCTCCAGGGGCACAGTGCCCCTCTCAGGGCTCTGCAGGGCCACTCCGCAGGGCCAGGCCAGTGGGCAGCTATCCCAGTGGTGGCCTGTAGAGGGCGCCATGCAGACCCAGGACCCTCCTGGGGGGCAGGAGGGGTGACCCCGGTGTGTCCCGTTGGCATGGGGTGAGCGTGAAGCCTGTCTCTGCAGTGTCGCCACGACCCCTACCGCCTGCTGCGCTACGACCTGCACGGTCCCCTGCAGAGGAGCCCGTCGCTGCTGGTGAAGAGGTTCGCCGTGGTCCAGGGCATGATCCTGGTGAGCGGGGCCAGCCCCCTGCCCTCCACTCTGGGCCTCCCAGGAGGGCCCCTGGGAGGGCCCAGCAGCCTCTGAACAGCCTGGTCCAGCAGAGGCTAAAGGCCAAGCAAGGGGGGGGCCTAGGCCAGGCTCAGGCCACCTCCCCAGGCGGGTGGCTGAGGCCACGTCCTCCACTGCCCACAGATGTTTGCTGGGGGGAAGCTCCTGTTCGGGGGCCGCGTTTTGAACGGCTACGGCTTCAGCAAGCAGAACCTGCTCAAGCAGATCTTCCGGGCCCGGCAGGACTGCAAGATGGGCTACTTCCTGCCCGACAACTACAAGTTCAGGTACAGGGGACACGGGGCGGGGGGGCGGCCTGGGACTTGGGCCAGATGCCTAGTCCTCGTGTCTGTGGCGGAGATCCTGAGGATGGGGCTCGTCAGGCAGGACCCCCAGCTGCAGCCCCGCCTCCTGTCCCACCTGCGTCACCTCATTTGGAATCACTCCAGAGGGACCTTCTGTGCCGCGGGGAACAGCATTCTCTTGAGACTGGAACAGCATGTACCAAATGTTTACTTGTCCCTGGTGACTTCTGCCACAGAGCAGAGTCTCCATTCTGACCAGGCCTGGGAGCCGCAGCTGATCCCCCAGGAACCTCTAGACACGTCTGTCTTCAGACCTCAGTCTCAAGGGTCTTGCTGAGTTGCTGAGGGCTGGCCTTGAGCTCCCGATCCTCCTGCCTCAGCCTCCACTTGGCACCTGCAGCCCCGCTCCTGCTTGGTTTGCCGAGTGCACACGGGTCCTCGGAGACCAGTTGTGGGGAGTCACAGGGAGCAGGGAAGACGAGGCTCAGGGTGTTCTAGAATGTTCCAGAGGCGGAGAGGGGAGAGGGAGAGTGAGGGAGGGGAAGGCCCAGACCCAAGACAAGCCAGGACTGCTGGCAGATGCCCCGCCTCCTCGTGCCATCACCTTGGCCGTGAGAATTTCAACACGTGAACTTGGGGACGGGGACACAGATACCAGACTGCAGCAGGGGCGTGCCAGGAAATACTTATAAAGAGACATGGCTCGATCCGGCTTCCGCTGTTACCAGGAAAGGGCCGCGGGTGTCTCAAGTGGGTCGGGGGCAGTGGGACAGAGCTATGTGGCATTGTCACGTGTTGTCAGGTTGTGGGCATGACCCAGTCAGCCTTTCCCGAGAGCTGTCCCTGTCGGGGATGAGGTCACTGTTAAGTAGTCACGGTCTCCCGAGCTGTGGGGGGTCCAGGGGTTCAGACAGGACTGGCCGGTGAGCTGGCGACAGTTTTCGATGACTTTTTTTGAGGAATTCTGGGCAAAGAATCAGAAAACGAGACAAACCAAACACACAGACCCAGAGATGGTCAAGGTTCTTAAGAGAGGAAAGAGGCAGAGTCTTGCGAGTGTGTACAGGACTCGCCTGATTCTAGAGCGGCCTCTGAGGTGCCTAGAGAAACAGAGAAGGACGTCTGGATAAGGAAATGTTGCCCTGTCACAGCGGGTACTGTGGCCTCTCTCTGTCTCCATCTCTCACCGTCCTGGAGCTGACGGGGCTGGGCCAGGCAGGGGATCTGTGTGCAGGTTCATCCTGAGGTTCCCTTTGGGCTGCTGCCTTTGCATGGCCTCCCCGGGCGGCCTGGGCTTCCTCACAACATGGCGGCTGGGTTCCAGCCTCGTTAAGTCTTATGGCCTCACACGTCCCACCGCACTGGAGTCCCTGGGGCAGCCCACAGTCGAGGCAGGGGAACCAGAACCTACCTCCCGATGGGGGAAACCACGTCAAAGATTGAGACAGGTTTTTCAGAGCGTCCCACCTTCTGCTGATCCCCTCCAGCTGGGTGACTAGGTTGGCACTGCCTGACGGGCCTGAATCGTCCGGGCTCCGGAGACACCGGGTGAAATCGCACAGTGTCCCTACGAACAGGATGGGACACTGTGGGTCAGGCGGAAACGCAGACGGCCATGTCCAGTGAGGTGCTTGGTGGCCGCGGGCAGGGCGGGCTGCGTTGTCCTGGGCTTGGCTGCTCCCCTCTGAGCGGGCAGCCTTTGTGCAGGGCTTGGTGACCCTCCCCGATGGGTGGCGGCCTCTGGGGGAGGCACGGCTGAACCTTAGCTCAGCTCTAAGTGTCCACCTTCAGCCTCAGGAGGTTGATGGGCTGTGGCCTTGGCAGTCAGGGCCGGCGGGGCCACTGAGGTCCCCTGACTCCAGGGGGACACAGGCTGACGGCTTCGTCCTTGAGGCTCTGGGAGGGCCTCGCTGTCCCTTGGTGGGAACCGTGTCTCCCGGATGAGCCAGCCCTGCCCATCCGCAGGGTCCACTTTGTGGACTGAGCCAATCGTTGGCGGCAGTATCCAAGGAGGAGACCTGGGTCGGTTTGGAAGCGGCGTAGGCTGTTTTCCCTGTCCCTGTTTTTGGTGACAGCAGGAAGGGGGCAAGAGTGTCACGGTGCCCCACAGGGAGCCCTTGTTCCGTCTGGCCTTGCACAGGAGCGTTGGGAAGACAGGTCCCTGGGGACAGGTCAGCAGGGTCGACGCAGGGAGGTGACCAGAGGGCTCAGGAGGGGCTGGGTGGCCACTGGGCTGGGCGGCTTGTCTCCCCTTGGAGGACCCGGCCACGGGGACACGGGGGGCAGGGTCCTCGAGGACCTGACGGAAGCGAGGGGTCTGGTGAGGCCCAGGGACGTGGTCCTTCCCGTGAGGCCCTGGGGGAGACGGAGACGGGGGGTGCCGCAGGCAGAGAGGAGTGGGTGGGCGGGGGGCTGCGGGGCGTCTGGGGGTGCCCTGTAGAGACCCCTGCAGGCCAGAGCCCTGGGACGCCTGGGGACAGCCCTTCCTGCAGAGCGGGCAGCGGTCTCTCCGCACATGGGAGCCTCTGTGTGCCGGTCACCTCCGTGTACAGGATCCCTATGTCCCTCCCTTGTCCCTGCCCCGTCCTCTGGGGGGCCCCTGGGAGCGTCTTCCTCCTGGGCGTCCACCCCATCTCCCAGCTTCAAAGCCACGTCACTGCTTCAGTTTCTGAGCAACTCAAGGATTCTTGACCTTGACCTTGACCTTGACCTTGACCTTCTTCACCTTGGCTGAGCCAAAGACCCAAAGAGAAGAGCCAGCAGCCACAGAAAGACTGACGCCGCCGCCGTGTGACTGTGCCGTGCCTGAGGCTCCTGGCGTCCCCAGTCCATAGAGACAAGGTGGAACGGCCAAGGTCAAGGGCTCAGGGGGAAGAGAATGAGCTGAAAGGGACAGAGTTTCCGTTCTGCAGGAAGAAAACGTTCTATAGCCCTGCGCACAGCTCCCACCGTGTGCTTAAAAACATACAGAGGGCCGGGCGCGGTGGTGCACACCTGCCATCCCCGCCGCTCGGGAGGCTGAGGCAGGAGGATCTCAAGTTGGAGGCCGGCCTCCGCAACTGAGCGAGGCCCTGTCTCAAAATAAAAGAATATGGAGGGCTGGGGGTGTGGCTCGGCGGTGAAGCGCCCCCGGATCGCCCTGGCCGCCCCTGCATGGCCCCCCTCCCCACCGACCTGTGCCGTCTCTGTCTCTGTCCCCCCACAGCCTGGAGCCCCAGCCCGAAAGCCCCCCTCCTCCCAGAAGGCTTCCTGGGGTGTGGGCACCACGGCCGCCGCCTCCACCCGGGCGCCCCTCTGAGCCCGCAGCGCAGCCGCCCAGGCTGAGAGGGGGTAGGTGGAGGACCCCAGCCCCTGTCCCCTGCCTGGCCGGGCCCCTCACCCTGTCCTTACCAAGCGGGCAGGGAGACCCTCGGGGACAGGCCGTGCCGGGTCCGCGCCTCTGCCTGGGCCCTTAAGCAGCAGCATGCAGGGACGGGGCAAGCTGTCACCCTGCTCTTCCCAGGGTCCCGGCTGGGGGGACCCAGGGACCTTGGACACTTGGGGGTGCCCAGGGCCGAGCACAGGGCCTGGGCCGTGTCCACCGTGTGCCCAGTGGCTGCCCTGCCCCTGCCCCCCTCTGTGGGGAGGCCCGGCCACATGCAGGGTGTCCCTGTGATCCGCGCCTGTCCCCTCCCTGCCCCACCCGCCCTGGTGAGGTTGAGGTGCAGGGGACGCGCACAGGGAGGGACAGACAGAGAGCAGCCACCCAGAGGGGACTCTCGAGGCAGGTGCAGGTGGCCCGAGCCCCGCCGGGGGCTGTCCCCTGCCTGGTGTGCCTGGGCCGTGACAGGGGGACAGGCTGCGGCAGATGCCGTGGGGGGATCCGCGCTGGGGACCTGGGAGCCTTGGCTCGGTCCCTGTCACCTCGCCCTTCGCTGGCCCCTCTGAAAGGCTGGTCTCCCTGGGCCTGGGAGCTGAGTGTCATGTCCGTCCGTCTGTCTCCCTGCTGGACCGTCAGACCCTGGGGTAGGGATTCGCTTCTTTTGTGGTCTTGGCCCTGGCTGGGCTGGGCCTGGGCCTGGTGGCCCCACGAGGACCGGCAGAGTGACCTGTGACATCCCCTTGCGGTGCTGAGGGTCCTGGGCTGGGCCAGCAGGGAGAGGAGGGGGTGTCGGGGGCCAGGCCCTGTGACGAGGTGTCAGAGAGTCCAGGGGGAGCTGACCCGGCTCTGAGCCAGGAGCCCCCACCCCGGGTGACACGCACATCAGGGCAGGGGTGTCCCTTAATCTGGGCCTGGTGGCGCCCACCTGTCATCCCAGTGACCCAGGAGGCTGAGGCAGGAGGATCGCATGTTGGAGGCCAGCCTCAGCCACTCAGCAAGAGCCTTTCTCTGAGGGCGAGAGCCCCTGGACACAGTCCCTAGGGACCCAGGACCCGAGAGCTGGCCTCATGCCATGGAGAAAGGGTGCCACCCAGGCTCAGGACCCGTGTCACACCCTCCTTGTCACCGAGGCTTGTGACATTGCCACAGGGAGCCGTGGAGTTAGCAAGAGCTGCCACGAGGAGCTGGTGACCATGCTGGTCAGTCAGGGCCTCGATCCACGTGTCAGACGAGGGCGCTAAGTGTCCCCCTGCCGATGTCAGGGGACCTTAGACTGGTTCCAAGGGAGGGAAACAAGGCCAGGTTAAGGAAGATGCCGTCTCGGGCAGCCAGGGGTGAGGCTGGAGGCAGGGAGGCCAGAGAGGAGGCCAGTGCCCAGGAGGGGCTATTTCAGGCCCTGGCAGGACTGTGGGCTCAGGGCCTGGTGCGCGTATCTCTTCCTTGAGTGTAAATATGGGGATGGATGGACGGACGGACGGATGGACGGGTCAGTGAGTGCAATGCCCAGGTCTCTCTTCTCTGCACCCCCTAAGGATCTGCCACCAACCACAGACCCCAGGGACCTCCTCCCCGCCCCCCGAGGCCGGAGCTCTGTGGGACAGGGGCCCTGGCGGACCCCCAGCCTGACCCTGCTCCTGTGTCCCCCCATCCTTCCCTCTCAGCATAGCAGGGGCTGGACGTGGGCACCCAGGGCCCAGCCACGGGCACAAACGCCTTCATCTTCTGTCGGGGCTGCAGGTGGCCTTTGAGGGTGCACAGGGGTCACTGGCTTTGGATGCGGCCTGGGGTGGGGACGGAGGGGGAAGGGGCGCACTGGCCTGCTAAGTGCAGATGGTGACAACGTGCCCAGGTTCTGTGACCTTGTTTTTGTTTGGGGATGTTGTTCACATCGGGGATTGAACTCGGGGACACTCGGCCACGGAGCCCCGTCCCCAGCCCTGTTTCCTACTTTATGTGGAGTCAGGGTCTCACTGAGCTGCTCAGGGCCTCACCATTACTGAGGCTGACTTTGAACTCGTGATCCTCCTGCCTCAGCCTCCCGAGTTGCTAGGGTGACAGGCGGGCACCACTGCACCTGGCTGTGAGCTTTTGTGGGATGGCCCGGCCCTGATCCTCCTGCGTCCCCACCCCGACCTCAGCGGGGATGACTGTGTCACCTCATTGAGTCTTAGGCATAGGTGCCACCTGCCCCCAGAGTCCCCCGGGTCTCACCCTGCGTCATTACCCACCAGATGACAGGCTCCTTCCAGATCAATAATCATGACCACATGACAAGTCACTGAGCAAATGGCCAGTCCTGTCTGGGCCAGTGATATACTATGCAGCCCTGAACAAGCCCACTCCCCTCTCTGGACTGCAGTCAGTAAAATGGGGACAAACAGCCCTGAGCAGCCTGCTGCTCGTGGCTCCTGTGATGCTCAGAAACCTCCTGAGGTCAGAAACACAGGCAGCACCTGCTGCAAAGCCATGGGGTGGGGTGTAAAGGTGAGGGGCACCCACACCCGTGAGTTTCCTCCGGTGACTGGAACAAGGTGCTGTGGTCTGGGTGTGTCTGTCTCCACCCCCTTCCCAAGTTCCCACGTTGACGTTCTCACCTCCAACGGGGTGATGCTGGGAAGAGGAGCCATTGGGGAGGTGATCAGGTCATGAGGGTGCTGCTCCCTTGAGTGGGATTAGTGCCCTTGTGTAAGAGACCCCAGAGGACGCGACTGCCCCTTCCACGGTGTGAGGGCACGGCGACAAGCTGCCATCGGGAGGAGTGTCCTCCGCAGACACTGAGTCTCCCAGAGCCTTGATCTGGGACTTCCCAGACGTGAGAAACACACCTCAAGATACCCCTCTGTGGTTTATAACAACACCCGGTCTGTGGTGTTTTGTCACAGTAGCCCCAGACAGTCTGACGCCAGGTCTGCATGCCGAGCGGCCTCGGCAACAGAAACGTATTGGTAGTTCCTTGGCTTGGGGTGGCATAACGCCACCCTTGGGGCACTTGGAGCCCCACCACCGGGTATTTCGAGGTTAGTCCCCTCTGCCCGGTGGCCACGTTTCCTGTGGTCACGGTTGGGTGTCCAGGTGTGGCCAGCACATGAGCCAGAGCCCGTGTGGCCTCTAACAGAAGCCTGGGGACCCGGCCCTGAGCTGGCTGCGGGTCCCCAGGGTGGTGCCCTTGACCCAGGCCTGACTTGTCTCTCCCTCTGCCCCGCGCAGCTCTGTCCCGCCGTGTCCCCTGCCCTGCAGCCTTTCAGCCATTATCCCAAGCCTGGAAGATTCTGAGGCAGCTAAGAAGGCCACGTCGGGGGATCTCGAAGGAAGCGTCTCCTCGCTGGCCCTGGGAGACAGGGTGGACAAGGACATCGCTTCCCCGGTTGACGTGAAGTAGGTGGCCACGGTGGCTTGGGGCCAGCAAACAGGCACAGCGCGCAGCAGGGGGTCCCTGGCTCTGCCACCGGCCGCGCGGCCACCGCAGGACTCTGGCCTTGCATGGCCACCGCTCCCCAGGCACGGGTCTGTCCCTAACCCTGGCCCGCTGTGTCCAGCCGGGCAGCCAGAGGCTCCCTGGAGCTGCCAGCATTGCTCTGGGGGTAGACGCTGCAGCATGAGCCCTTTGGTCTCAGAAAGGACGAGACTGTCCCCTGGGTCCCTGCCCGGCACCTGCTGGGCCCTACAGAAAGTTCGGGAATCCAGAGGCCAAGGCAAGGAAAAGGAGACCGGGGGTCCTGCAGGACCCCGTGTCAGGAAGGAGGGAAGGAGGAGCAGGAGCAGGTGGGAAGGCCACAGGCGTCACGGTCCCCTTCCCCAGGGGGCGACACCCCATGGCCGCAGCCCCCCACCCAGGCCCGGCCAGGTCCTGGGCCCTGCCCCCCCGCCCCCCGTGCCCACCATTGCCTCTGTGTTTTGATATTTAGGCCCAAAGATCCCGAAGTGGAGCCGCCACCTCCCCCCAAGCTCAGAAGGGGCAGCCGGAGGAAACAGGCCACCAAGAAGTGACCGCCAGCCCCGGTGGCCGGCCGTGGACGCCCCTGCCCGCACCTCGCCCCGCCCCGCCCCCTTTAATAAAGAAACGTGCCTTCAGCCTGTGGGTGAGGCCCGGGGACGGGGCAGCCTGGCTCAGACGGGCCCCCAGCCCTGGCCAGGCCAAGCCTGGGCCACCCCCGCTGTCCCCTGCCCACGCTTCCTCGGTGGCCTCTGAAAAGTCCCATCCCCAGGAAACAGGAGGGCCACCTGCTGGACCACAGGGTCACCCCAGGAGCCTCTGATGGGACACGCCTGTGTCCTCTGACCCTTCTGTGGGTGGGAAGGGGCGCAGGTCCTGGCCCAGGTGGAGAGAGGAGGGGACGAGAGAAGGGAGGAGGGACCAGGAGAGGAGGGGACGAGAGGAGAGGGGACAAGAGGACGGGGAGCTGGAGGGCATTGGAGGTCCAAGAGCGGGGACTGAGGAGCCAGAGGAAGAGGGGTGACAGGCGCCCCGGGAAGTCCTGGTGTGTGCACAGAGCAGAGCTGGTGGCCCCTGGACAGGCTCACGCCATTCAGCTGGCCTCTGCAGACTGGCCACCCGGGCCTCCGCTGGAGGCTGGGGCACCCTCAGAAGCACCAAGGGGCCCCCAGACCTGGGCTCCCCCTACAGAGCCGCCTTGTCCCATGTCCCCGAGAGGGCTGGCCATCTGCAGCCCCAGGTGGGCAGCTCTGGGCTGGACTGGGCTCCCCTGAGCTCTTTCCTAGGAACCAGGATGCCCGAGGGTCCTCTGAGCCCAGAGCCTCAGGCCCCGAGCCCCGGAGGCGAACTTTCTAGGGCGTCCTGTGCAATAGACGCTTTTTTCAACCTGAACTTTCTGAGGCTTGGTTATTATCTGAGTCAAACATTTGCCTACAAAAAGAACTGGTTTTGTCCTCCTTCGAGCCCCCTCCCGTCCTCCCCAAGATGGCCCAATTCAAAGGAATCTCTAGAGAGTGGAAGTGCATGGCACTCGAGCGGGGCCACCGCTCCCACAGCCCTTGCAGACATCACCAATCAATCACAGTATCATGGAGTCGGGTGGATTCACCCCAGTGAGGAGACCCAGTTAACCACCCATCTGTGCCTCCCATGAGCAGCCCGTTTGTCTGTGTGACTCCGTTTTCAGGAAGACTCCTGGGAGGAATGAAGGGTGGGATTTATGAGGAAGCCTGGCAGGACATTCTCTGTGCCAGCAGGGAAGGAAGGGGCATCCGAAGACTCACGGCCCCCACGGTCAGCCTGCGTTGGGGGGTGCACAAAATGGTCTCTGGGAAATGACCAGGAGACGGGAAGCCTGCCCACCAATCAACTCTGCATCAGAGGACATTAAAACAGGAAGGAAATCCCAGGGATCTAGGTAACTGACTCCTCACTTTACAAAAAAGGAGACTTGGGCTGGGGATGTGGCTCAAGCGGTAGCGCGCTCGCCTGGCATGCGTGCGGCCCGGGTTCGATCCTCAGCACCACATACCAACAAAGATGTTGTGTCCGCCGAGAAATAAAAAATAAATATTAAAAAAAAAAAAAAAAGGAGACTAAATGGCACACAGCAGTATCAGGGGGTCCCTGATGCCACATCCAGTCTCCCAACTCCCTCCTTCCGTGCGGAGGTGGGGCTGGGCCCACAGGGCCATACTAGAGGCCCCAGGGCCCGAAACCCCGTCCTGTCATGAAGAGGGCTGGGGTTGGGGCTCCGTGGTAGAGCGTTTAGCTGAGCATGTGGGAGGCACTGGGTTCGATCCTCAGCACCGCATAGAAATAAATAAAAGTTCCATCAACAAGTAAAAAAAAAATATTGAAAAACTGGAAGATAGAAAAAAAATCTAAAACACCTTTAAGAAAATCACAGAAGCGCATCACAAATCGGGAGAAAAATGAATTTCCAAAGCAGGTTGAGAATGCTTACGATGCAAAAAGACAACTCAGTGTAAAAAAAAAATGGACTAAATATCTGCACATTTTGCAAAAGATGCTGTAGAGATGTCAAAAAGAAGCACAGGATGAGATGCCCGATATGATCAGCCTTGGGGGAAAGGCAGACTGAAGCCACAAATGAGGTCGCACTAGACACCTATTAGACTTTCAAATGTGAACCGAAAAGGCCAAATACGTCAGCCAAGCAACTCAGAGCTCTCCTCCTCTGTGGTGGGGGTGTAAAACAGGGTCAGAGGACTTTGGAAGTAACTGATGATTTCTTGTAAAAGCCCACTTCACCCATGACCAGGTGAAGGAGCCAGGTTGAGACGCAGGCTGCAGAGCCCCTTCTGTACGATGTGAGAACATTCTAGAAAATGCCAGAGAAAAGAAGCCACAAAGGGAGGACAAGACTGATACCCGAGTTTTCATAGCAACGCTGGGTGCCAGGAGAATGGAGGAGTGATTTTAAAGAACTGAAGGGTAGGAATAGAGAAAGTCAAGTGTTTAGCTTGTGAGGAAGAAGTGCAGATACCGATGCGCGTAAGAGTCGAGAGGGACGCACAGGCAAAACAAGCTAATCTTAAATGGTGACCATAATAAAGAAAAAAATAGAACATACAACCTTTCGACCACCAATGCATCTCTGTCAATCCAAAGGAAAGAAAGTAGAGAGAGGAGAAAACAGTAAAAGTAAGTGACGAAAATAAGTCCCAAAGTGAGAAGCAGTATAATAAACGTGAATGTGTTAAACTCTCCAACCAAAACGTTAGGGACTCTCACACACAAAGACCTGTCCGTGAGTGTTCATTGACGCATCATCTACAATATCATAAAGTGGAAATGAATGTCCATCAGCAGCTGAACAGACAAACAGACTGTGGTATATCCACAAAGCGGAAGGTTACTCAGCAGTTTATTTTATTTGTTTTTTTGGTTTTTTTTTAAGGAGTGAAATCCTGATACATATTACACAACACAGATGACCCTTGAAAATAAATACAAAAACAGTCACCACCGGTGATGACTCCACTTATAGGAAATGTTCAGACTCAAACATTTAGAGACAGAAAATAGATTCACGATGGCCTCAGGAGGAGGGAGGGAGAAATGGGGATCAGCTCCTAGGGTTCTAGGGTTTCTCTTACGCACGAGGAACACGTCCTACAATCAGACCTTGGTGACGACTACACAACTCCGTGAATACACTAAAATCCACTGAATTTCATGCGTTAAATAGGTGAAGTGCAAGGTATATGTAAACTCTAGGTCAACAAAGCTGTTAAACTTGGGAAAAAAATGGGATTCTCTAATTGGGGGGAAAAAATAACACGAAATCGGCGTCTACTCGAGATGTTCAAAAATAATACGGCACATAAATGTCAAAAATGAAGGAGTAGGTGTGCCTCGTGAGCAGGACTCTGCCTTCCTCCTGACGATCCTCCTCCACACCCTCCCACCTCGACGTCCTGCTCACCCCGAGCCCAGGGCCACCATGTCCACCCTCTGTGGACGGAGACCTGTGAAGCCATGGGCCAAGTGAACTTCTCCTCCTCTTGCTGTTCCTGTCAGGCCTCTTGGTCACGGAGATAAATAACCCTACATATGCAGTCTCCAAAGGCCTCAAGCAAAAATTCATGGACCCCCCCCCCATTGAAAATTCAGAGCCCACTGTGAATCCTTGCACGTGCCCATCCCAGATGTTAAAAAGCAGAGAAAAAAATGTACAGAGAGAGACCAAAGACTGGGATAATGCACTCAGAACATATGGGACTTTCTCAAAAGGAAGCCATGTGTCAGGCCATGAATTAAATTCCCTTAATTCCTCCTCCTCCTCCTCCTGGGAAGTGTCTGTTCGGTTCCTTGTATTCTCCAAATGGGATGCAACACAGTTAGGGATACATAATAAGATACGCCTGAACACCCTGTGTTTATGGGAACTGAAGTACTATTACGAAGTAGGTCTCAGGTTAAACTCAAAATCCAAAGGAAATCCAGAAATCTTTAGAAGCGGATGGGAATGAAGACTCAACGTGTCATTATTTGTGGGACGCAGCTAGAGCTGCATCTGGGAAAGAACAGTCCCCAGGACCCCAGAAAGGCTAAAAAGGTCAAGCAGTCAATTTGTCAAGTTGAACGAGGTTACAACAGAGTGATCCAGACAGCACAC